CAGTTGAAAGAAATAAAAATCATTAAGAAATCCTGATCCTTGAGCTGGGTGCAAGTTTCAGTTGCCAGACTTTTTCCTTATTAACAAAACCTGAATTTTGTATAAGGCAGCAATCTGCCCAGCTAGAAAGCTACATTTTCGAGCAGTCTTTGAAGACCTTGTTTATCACCCATGTGTTACAGTTTAGGCCAATATAATGCAAACTGAAATTTTATAGTTACTTCCATGAAAATTTTGCTTTTCTGATACTGGCTTCATCCTCCCACTTTTTCACTTTTTTTCTTTTTCTTAATAGCGTTGTGTTTGTGACGCTGAAATTGTACAAGGCAAGTCACAGATTCAAGTGATTCAATTTACAGACATAGGAGAATGAAAGCCACATGTTAAAGATGGTAAAGACAAATATAAACGGCACCTAGGATATTGATGACAACATGGAGATGTTATATTAGCTCTGAATTGTCTAACTCTGGATTCTTCATTGGGTGAGAAAAACAACTCACCATTATGTGGATAAACCACTGTGAATGGATCTTGTTGATGCAGGGACCTTTCCGGAATTGTGAAAAGGGTAGGGGGCTGGGGAGAGTGTAGGGTATATGAAAGGGGTTTGGAGTGTGTTCTGGGGTGTCAAAGGTTTATTGTAGGGCAAATTTATTGTTTACTCCTCTGTTTCCTTTCTTTTCCTTTGAAAATATCCTCTCCCTTTTGAGACATTACTCTCTTTCCCACTTCGAAATTACACATTCCACTTCAAAATTTCAGAATAGAAGCCACCATTTCTGAAATAACTTGTTTGCATACTCATGGTGATTAGTGGAGTCATGAGCCATGGAAGCGAATGATTACATTCATGATACCTCCAGCCTCTAGCCTTAGGAATTGGTGCAGGAATGAGCCAGAGTCATGCTGGGCAATCACACTCCTTCTTGGGAATTGTCAAATTGGAGTAAAGAGAAAGAAAAGCCCTTTTCTCTCTTGTCGGAAGTTTGAGGATGTGAACTTGAAACTTCCATAATCCTGTGAAGAGGGGATATTGAATTTAACCCAGTGAGAGAATCAAAGATGAGAGACATTGAGAATTCTACTGCAAATGAGTCTGTGGAACCATTTTTCTCTGCCCTTATCGTGGCTCCATAAGCCGATTAATCCTCTGTTTGCTTAAGTTAGATCAAGTTAGATATATTTCACTCACAGTCTAAAGAGTTTTGATGCTATAAGGAACAGGCACCAGTTTTTATTTCTGACTATTTTAAAATTAAAACACTAACTAATTTCAAATTTGTTATCTCAGCTTTAATGAGGTTACATGGCCTCTCATTAACGGATATTATTCTTTGACAGAAATATGTAAAGTATAATCATTACTCATTTAAAAATGCCCTGTGATTGAAATCAAAACCAATTAGTTAACAGATTTAAATTCATTAGAGAACCCAGACGCAGTTGTGACTAGTAGCACTTTCTGTAAAGTTGTAGCTCATAATCAGTAAATGTGATGACTTTGAAAATTCATATTTTTCCCTCCACTGTTTGCATTTCTATTTGATGGTTCAGGGTTTTGAACAGCCGGTCTAGTTATATCAAACAAACTTAGTTAATAAGTCCTCCAAGATAGTTTACTCCCAAGAACATTTCTCTTGGATAAAATTTATAGTTCTTAAAGATTTTGCTTTCTCATTGTTGTTGTTATAAATCAGTGTTCTTTAAACTTCAGCAACAACAAAAACAAACAAACTAAAACTTTTGAAAGGAAAACATCTTTGGATACCCAGTATTAACTGGAATAGTTTTATTTAAAATATGTATATAATATTATAACTACCTACACATTAACTTATGCACAAGTTTTGTACCATGACACAAAGTCAACAAAACTGCAAAATTTATAATTTTCAAAATAATTATATTTTAATGTAATAAATCATGTGCTCTTTAATAAAAGCCAAGAAACTATCAAGAGCTGATATATGACGCTGACTGCTGTGGATTCTTTTGTCACGAGTGTACTGCACCTGTGCTGTGACTGACTCAGTTCTCTCGCCATTATTATCTAGCTGAACCATGCAATCTTTATTTACACAGTACAGGAAATCATTCTGATGTCATTTGATACAAAACTTCTTTTACACATTAAGCTTATCTCTTCTTTCTTGTCATTAGCCTAGTAATATATAGTGCAAAACGTGGTGGCATTCTCATGAGGTTAAAAACTTATTAAGAAACTAGTTTCTTCTATAAGAGTGTACATCACCTACGAATTATATCTAAGAAAACTATTTTTTCTTTCTAATTGTAAAGAAAGTTCACAAAGATGCAAACAGATTTGAGGCAATTATTGCCATTTTGATTTTAGATCAATCTAGTGTAATCAAATATGAAACATTTTGGGGGAAGGTGATTACTCTGTACCCATATTACGGACACAAAAGAAAAGGTGAGCACCAAAATTGTATGGGTCATAAAATGATAGCAAATGTGTTGAATATTGTTTTTAGATTACTAGCAATGTGAGGTGAACAAACTGCATTTCTGGCCATGATGATGTCATTGAGACTGGAATTGGCTTCTTGTGTAAATAAGTAGAAACTTGAAAAAATGCAGAATAAAATTATTTTCTGACGTTGGTCAAAATCAGCACAGAAACAGGATCTCTGATAGGAGGGAGGTAAACAAGGTAAACGCTAAAACTGCCCTAAATTTCTGGCTGCAGGAACTTTCCACATAGCAGGAGATGAAAGGAGATCGCGAAAAGGTCATGGCAGTTTTACCGATCTTAAAAAAAAAAAAAAGAAATCCTGAGGACTTATACCACCTGATTTCAAGACTTGCTATAGAGTTGCTGCAATCAACTGTGTAAAATTGGTCCAAGGATACATCAGCGGATTATTGGAACCAGCCACACAGTTCAGGAATAGACCCAAACACAAACATTCGATTAATGTTTTAAAGGAATACTTTCGTTCTTGAAGAATACTTTCACTGGATATGGGATTTTGATTAATACTTATTTTATTTCAGCACTCTAAAGAGATTGCTCCAACTGTCTTCTAGCCTCTACAGTTTCTGATGAGAAGTTTGCTAGTATTCAATTTCTTCTTCCTTTCTATGTAATTAATGTGTCACTTTTCACTGACTGACTTCAGGATTTTCAGCAGATTAACTATGATGATCCTAGGTATGGTTTTCTTTGATTGTATCATATTTGGGTTTACTAAGTTTCTTGAATCTATAAATGCATGTCTTTCATTAAATTTTGACAGTTTTTCAGACATTATTTTTTCAACTATTGTTTTCTGCCCACTCCTCGTTCCTCTTTACCTTCTACTTCAATGCTCATAGAATTGGCTTTTTGAAATTTTTCCGCAGATCTCTGAGGGTCTGCTTATTTATTTTGTTCAATCTCTTTTCTGCTCTGTTCTTCAGATTGTGTAATTTTGATCTATCTTCATTATCTTTTGCCTCTATCATTCCCATTTTCCTATTGAGCCTGTCCAGTGAATTTACTTTGAGATATTGCATATTTTAATTCTAAAATTTATTTGTGTTATTTTTTGATAGTTTACATGTCTTTTATGAGACTTTGTCTTTTCATTCATAATGAGCATGTTTGCTTTTATCTTGCTAAGCAGAGTTAAAATGGCTGTTTTGAAGTCTTTCTCCTATAATTTTTAGCATCTCTGTTACCTTTGGGTTGGCATCTTTTGATTGCCTTTTTTCTTGAGGTTGGGTCTCATTTTCCTGGTTTGATTTATGTTAAGTAATTTTCTTGTGTGTCCTAAACATTGTGAATATGATGTTGTATAGATTCTAGATTATATTATAGGTTCCAAAGTATTGATATATTTGTTTTTATGGGGCAATTAACTTGGTTCGATGTAATTCTGGGCAGCAAGTCAGATGTAATTTCTGTTCTTCAAGCCTTAGTTGTTACCTGCTTGAAGTTTACCCCAAATAGAAGTGGTTCGTGGAGCAGCATGGACTTAAGGTAAATTTATGCATGAAATTAGATACCTCTAGGTGTCTTTTCTGCAGCCTCTCTCTCAATCTTCAGAGGCTGTTGTTGCCCCGGGAGTCCTTCCTCTAGTTCCAGAAAGATGGTGAAATTTTCTATCAGAATTGAGTTGCTTCACATTATACTCAAGATCAAACAGCATATACCCTCAGTATAGAGAAATAAAGAAAAAAGAAACTCACACTGTTGGATGTTTTCTCCAAGTTTCGACCCTTGCTTTCACTCAGTGTCCAGAGCCTTCAAATAATTTTTGTTGTTGTTGTTCGCTGTCTAGATTTATGGCTTTTATTTATGGGGTAATCAGTTTTTTAGGAACTAACCTCTCTAAGCCAGTTGACTATTACATTCTAATGGAGAAAAACGCAGAGAAACTTTGTGACATATTGCAGTTGGGACCCTAGTGGAAAGTTCTTACATCTTACATTTAGAAAGGAAGTAGCAAATATGTCCACCTGCAAAGCTTGAGAATTTTTCCTGATTCCTTCATTTAAGTGAAATATGAAGACTGGTAACATGAGTTCTGTAACGTGAAGAAGGGGCACAAAATTGTGCGTTAACTCTCCGTTGACCGACACACTATATTTCCATTGTCCTTCTGTTCTCTCGGTCCCGCCCAGGTTGCGGTTTGCTTGGTTCTTTTTTCTTCTCTCTCAAATACACAGTTTAATATTTCTTGATAGTGCCAGTGCTTCTCCAGCCAAACATAACCTGTTTCTTGCCAGGCGTTGTTCTGCTATCACAGGCTATGTTCCAGAAAACAAAATTCTTTCTTCAACACCATAAATAGAGCTGACTATTCACTTTTCACATCTTCCTTCCTTTCTTCAAAATCACAGACTGGAGGAGGAGATACGAATACACCATGAAATTCAATTGAAATGAAAATGCCTTAAATTTCTTATTCAGAGGTTTAAAATGTTTTATTTATCCCTTCCTACTTTTTCTTCCTTTTTTTTATTTTGCTGTTTATTTTATGGATCTGGAGAAATGAGCAGTAGAGGAATTTGATGGATATTGTCAGGCATCTTGCCGCGTTTTGCTCTGTGTCTCTTGGAAAGAGTCCCGTGCACTGGAAGTGCTCCATCAGAAGGTGGGTGACATTCTTTCAGGGATATTTTAGAAGAGATTCCTACCCTAATGTAAACTTAGATTTAATGTCCCCAAGGATGCTTTTAACTCTAAGGTGCAATGTTATCACATCACATTGGAAAGGAGCTATTATTTTTACTTAACTGTGTATTGTAGAACTAATAAGCCCTCTTAATACATAAAAATTACTCAAAGAAAGGTACATCTTTTCACGCTATTCTAAAAATCACAAAATTAAAGGAACCTAGGTTAATAATAAGGGGCTGATTTATTGCTTTACTATACAAGAACTCTGCCATGAACCTAACAGAGGCTCCACACAGAAAACTTATTCTGTAGGGGAAGAAGCCAAAAAGAAAATTAGCCCTGTGTTGAAAGAGAACCCATGATGGCTGATTTGATGATATTAATGGCATTTTCCCTCCTTTGCAGTATTATAAAATCTAAACCATTTAATGGTGCTCTTTTCCTTGCCTGGAAGGGAAAAATGACATTGCTCTAAACCCTTTGTAAATTTTAGAGCATATGCTATATAGTAATTTGATGCTCAAACGTTACTGAGTTTAGGAGCTTCATTCCTTTGATCAGAAGCTGTGAAGCGAGAGCCACTCGGGCTCCAGGTCCTGTGTGCCAACCACTGGCCTTCATGATAGTTCATGCTGCCAAGTGGACAGAGACTGATTATTTTCTGGTTCCCAATTTCTGAGTCCTGCACTGTAGGTTAGACGAGCCCATAAAGTTGACTTTGTGTATACAGTACTCTGAAATGGCATAATCAACACATTTTTCTTCCTGCACATGGCAGCAGAAGAGAAGAACATGCTGTATTAATTGATCTGCTGAAACCTTGGTCTACAGGGAAATAAATCTTTCAACCATTGAGTTATAAGGACTGTAGTTTTCCTAGGGCAATGTGGATCTTTTAATTTGATTTTCTGTGTAAAGCCAAACCTTAGTTTTCAGTACTCCCATATATTCAGAAACACTAGAAATCATTTTTATCTACCTACTATTTTAATAATGATTATACTTCCTAATATTAGCTTCTCCTATTTTGCTTGCCCAGGATGCATATCTACAACATTTAGAAGAATAGTAAAAGTACAGCAAATTAAGGATGTATACCTGTTCTTCAGTCTTAACCAACACACCAGTTACTCAGCACTTCTGTTACTGAAAACAATTGAGAATCAAATTATAAATAGAATTAAAAAGATGCCTGTGGCAAATTGAATTATTGTGTCTTAATTATTCATCACTCTCTGTATTCATACGCTTTGTCACATAATTTTGTAACCTCCTACAGAAGGTGGGCTCTACTTTTCTCCCCCTTTGGGCTTAGCCAATGGATATGAGTGAAGGTGACACAACTGATGGCAAAGAACATGACCAATGGGCTCGCTCTCTTGCATTTCTGCCATCAAGAGAAGAGCATCCTGCTGTCCCTCTGGTCCAAGGAGATGAGACAAACTTGAGGAAGAGCTACATGGCTGGCCTGAAAACCTACAGCTTGAGGGGTAGATTCAGCTCAGGTCAGCTGATTCTCAACTGAAACGCAGACTCATCAGCTATCAGTTAAGTGGCGCGGCCAATTTTCAGTCAGACACAGTGGCAAAGATTTATGAGAAAATGCTTTTTTCCTATAAGTTTGTGATATTTTATTATAGAAAATATCTTATTGATGCTTTATACCTGTGATTAAAGTAATTATCACAAGTTCGCATTTACTAAGTCTATGTCTTTAACTCATGGTGGATCTCCTTAATGCTCTTTTCAGAAAGACAGTTACCTTAATCATCCGTAATTCTAAAAATGTGGTCATAAAATAAAAATATAAAAATTTTGATGCATGAAAGATATAGCCTCAATTCTTTAGAAAATTAAAAGGCCCAGAATAACTCATTTTCCTGGAATTACATACCGTTAAACACCCCCTGAAAAGTAATTAAAGCATTCAGTGGAAGATGACTTATATTAAGATCCTGGAAAAACTTGGTTTAGATTATAAGTAGGAGTGATATGTGTCTATATAGAACACCTCATTCAGTAAAGAGTTCACCACTGCCACTGTGCATCATCGGTCGTTACAAGACCCAGTGTGGCGCTAGAAGAAAGATAGGCTTATTTTAGCTGATGGGAGTCTCAAGGGCATGTGTTGATTTAGAGATAAAAGAAATAGTGGAAATGATTTTGGTGTTGAATATTAAATGAAAGCACTTCAACTTTAAGGGGAAATTCCTCATGTCTGTGGTCACCAAAAAGTATTTGTGGCTTACTGATTTTACATCCTGAGAGATAAACTTTTTATGTCCACCTACTCTACTTTAAAACTTATACCGTTTTGTTAAGGGTTTACTCATCTGTGTATTCTCATTTGGAGGAACCTGGGTCTGCAGCTCAATGCTTTACATACTTAGCACCAAGGAAAGGCCATGCTTGGATGTAGTGGCTGTCGTCAGTCTCCACTGAACAGTAAGGATCACCAAGAATAATGAATTCTCCTCATGGTGAAGGCAATTTTGCTGCAGTGGCAGAACAACTTTTTTCCAAAGTTCTGTTTGTAAACCAGAAGATGCCTTTTTGTTTTCTTTATCTGACCAAGTTTTGTCTATTTGTGAGTGTTCTAGCTCATGTAAATTTCTGTGATTCTCTCTCCAGCCCCATTCTACAGAATCATTGCCAAACTTATTGGTAATCATGCTTTCAGTTTATGACATTCTCTGCACTTCCTGGTTGTTAGCCACCAGACCCTTCTCCTGGAACCGGGGAACTTTTGATACCTAGCGTGATCATTTTCTTCACACCCTAACACTTGCCTTTTCTCACTTCCACTTGAGAAACTTCTACGTGCTGTGGTTATGTAAATAAAGAGCAGCTTAGGCAGATATCTAACAGGAAACGCTCAGGTAGGTAGAAGTTGAACAAAATGAGATTTCTGTCCACATAATCCTACCTGGTGATGGAGGGCAGAGAGAAAGTAACATTTAGCCAAAATGACATTTCAAAGATGAAGTTAACTAAGCTAGTGAAAAATTCCGGGTGCAAAATTTTCCCTCAGAGAAGAGAGCACCCTGAGCCTGGTAGGAAGATGGGCTGTATCAGTTTCCTGTGGCTGCTGGAACAAAGTCCCACAAATTGAGTGAGTGGATTAAGACAACAGAAATGTATTCTCTCACAGTGCGGCAGATGTGGGGAGAAATACAAGTCAACTTTAGAGTTGGTTAGAAAGACAAGAAAATTTGGGCCTGCATGCAAAAAAGTATGCATTTTTTACATTTACATTTTTACATTTTACGTTTACATTTGCATTTACATTTTCTGCCTACCCCTAAAATAATACAAGGATAAGGTTGAAGTACAAATCTAAGAACATTTTTATCAAAATAATACAAGGATAAGGTTGAAGTACAAATCTAAGAACATTTTTATCAATCTAACTGTTGTTAGTAAAGAGAAGAAAAATAGCATAGTAAACATAAAACCTTAATAATGTGGTGAAAGTAAGTCCAAATATATCATAAGCCACATGAATATTATTCTTGCCTACTAAAACACTGAAACTCTCAGATAATATTATTTTTAAAGTGTTCACTCTGGTTAGCATTACAAAGGAAGGATGTGTTATGGGAGTTGAAGATGGATTGGAAGGGAGAAAGTGTAAAGGGCAAGAAAATTTCAGAGATTATTTCAATATTGGTGGTAGGAATAGAAATGGAGTAAAATAGATATATTAATGAGATATTTAGAAAGTAGGTTGAATAGTTTATCATATGATCCAAGGGTTAGAAGCTCATGTATTCCAAAATCTTACAACTCTCTGAAGTTACCTTTACCACTGAACTTTTAAAATAACTGACTATAGGTCCCAGGCCCCCAAACTGAGAAATCTATTTCCCCCTTTCTGTTCGCACTATTTCTCAAGATTCTTGTGTAACTGGTAGGTCTCTTAGTGATCTGATACTTACATCCTGTCTCTTCTGAATTCTCAGTCTTTATTATACATTAAATGTCCTATGACTTTCTGTCCCATCTTCCATCAAATGTGTCATAAAATTCTTTGTTTCTTGTAACCAGTAATATCATAAAGCATTGTAGTATATCAGACTTTTATTCAAAATGGTGAGTCATAGAAGAATGTAACAGAATAGCATCAAGTTTAGAGTATTAGTCATCCTTTATCTTAAGACTTCCTCAGCCTTCCCTGCCATCATGAGTTTATTCCTGGTTTTCATTATTCTGCAGCTATGTCCCTAAACCATGTGATTTGATCTTATCTTTTCCCTTCTTACATCTAACCCTCCTTCCACTTTTTTTTATAGTGCTGCTCACTACACACTGCTTTCTTAAAAAAGAAAAGCACAATTTAAAATGAATTCCTTTCCTTTTTTTTTAATACAAGCAATTGCATCCTTCATTTGTACTGCCCCTTCATTCTAGGTCATGAACTGATCATGAGCTGAACATGAACTGAATGGGAGCAGTCTTTTAACATTCAATTAGGCCATAAAGACGTGTTGTAAAATAAATAACACTTTTCTTCCTAAAAGGAAATCTGAAGTTCAAGGATGATTCCTGGGTTTCTAGCTGGTACCATTTATTGATCTGGAAACAGAACAGGGCCAGTATTTGGGGGGTTAGAGGGAGAATTGGAATTGTGAGTTCCATTTTGAGTATTCTGAGTTTAAAGTACCCGAGGAAAACCCATTTGAACTGAAAGTCGAGGAAGAAGCTAAGCATACAACATTGTAGCTCAGAGAATTATATATTCTAAGAATCCTTTCCATATAAATAATAATTGAAGCCATGGGAATCTCTGTGGTGAACACAGAAGATAGGATAGAATGAAAGAAGAGCATTTAGTAAGCCATAATAACTCCAACATTCAGAGTTTGAATAGATGAAGAGCAAGAGAGACCGACCAAGAATTTGCCAGAGAGATAGAATGAAATCCAGGGGTTTCTAGTGATCTTGGAAGCCAAATGAGGTAGAGGTGGGAGAAAGTATTTTTCAAGAAAGTTGTGATCAACAGCATATTTCAAATGTTTCCATGGGGTCCAACAAAAATATATCCAAGATAATCCATGGGTCATAATTAGCAACGTTTAATAATAGTTTCATTGGAATCATATGGGTGGGAATCAGATCGGAATGGTTTTATGCAGCAAGTAAGTGGGGTTGTAGAGACTGTCAGTGTGTTTAAAGTTTTTGAGAAGTTTAGCTTTGAGCAGAGGAGTGGGTAGTTGGAGGGAAAGTTGGAACCAAGGAAGAAGGGTTTTACTTTTCTTAAAATGGGAAAGACTTGATCATGTTTGTTTAGTATTTGTTTTTCGTTCATGTTTAAAAGCTGATGCAAGGAAAGGAGTGGGGAGGTTGATGAAAATAATCTGGGAGGAAAGGGATGAGTGAAGCCCCTGACAGAAAGGATGCCATCAGGGGCTGTAGACTGAGCAAGCCTTAATATTCATTTGAGTAAAATCAAAATAAAAGGCTTACACACAGAAAACCCATAGACCCCGGTATTGAATTCCTGCCATTAATTCAGTTACACAGGAGCACAGATTAGTAAAAGGCAAATTATCTTGGAGAAAGTTTCCAAACTTTGTGTTTTAATTTTTTTGCAGTAAAACACATTGTAAGTTAGAAAACGTAATTCAACAATTTTCGTTACTGGTGTCCTGAATAGAGTAATACATTTCTCTTCTAAATTGTCTCGTATCTTGTTTTTAATGCTTATATTTTCCATTTCATTTCTGTACAAAATATGCTCTGAAAGACTGTTGTTTTCATTCAGAGAAAAAGCGTTGATCCAGAAATGTTCGCACATAATTTAAACAAAAATGCGGTGCTAAATTCCTTACAGCCTTTTGACCATGTTTCTATCAGCAGCTTTAAAACTAATGAGCACCCTTGGGAAGTGAGAAATAGGAAAGATTGCTTGACAATCACAATCAATGGATAAATTCCTCTTTAGAATGTGTTTGTATAAAGAAGTCTTGGAATTCAAAATATATTTCCAGCACCGGTTGAAGAGAATTTTATTAAGTCATTATCACAATAAAGACATTGTGCCAAGTATAGGGGATCAAAGATGGACAACCCTCTAGGACCTTCTAGGGTAAGGTTTCAGGATCACCATTCTAACCAACACTTTGTCTGTGTGGGTGATGGAAATACCATTGAAACTATAACCAAGACTTTACAGATTGGCATCACATTTTAGGAACCACTCTCCAGATAGCATCCTCACTCCAAAAAATTATAAAATAAACTGAAAAAGGAATTCCAAAATTGGTTTGCACTTCCAGAAAGACATTAAATGAGATAAAGTCCATAGACCCCGACATCATTTTTCATATGCACGTCTCTCCTTCTCGGCTCCCTCTCACATCCATACGCGTCAGATCTTCTCATTCACTGTTATGTACAAAGAACAGTCAACCTGCCACTCAACCGTCTCAGTCTCTTCCATTTACCTCTCCTCATTTTCCCCACTCTTACGGTCCACCCGCAAACACAGTCTCCATACGTGATTCTACATTCAGAACGTCCAGTGTCCCTACCTTGCTTTGCTGACTATTTTGCCTTGCAGAAGATAGGGGAAAAAATCATGAGGCAAAATATTTACGACAATTGTTTCAAGTTGTCTTTCCCCTTGACAATTGTTTGAAATCCAGCCCATAGCCCAGACCACAGGGCAAAATGTTCTGGGATCTTTTCTTCATTCTATCCCTGATTGTTTACTGTGTGATAATTTTATGTTGTTTATATACATATGTTGTTTATATATATGGTATATGTTCATTTATATATTGTAAATAATATATATATTAAATTACGTGTTTATTTTACAGCAATATCTGTTTTGCATTTGGGTAATGTTTTGATATTCTACAAAATATTGAGTGATGGCATTTTTAACTGTTTTCTCCTTTGGACTATCTTATCTTTCTCATAATTTAGGCTTCCTGGTTTCAGCTTTTAAATCATACCATTTTAAAATTAGCTATTATTTATATTCTCGTTTTTATCACTTGATTTGAAATAAATATTTTATTTTGTCTTGTGCATCTTTAACTTTCTAATATCTTTGGATTTTTATTTCTTTATTTTAATATTCATTCTTTAGATTTATGTATTATTATCTATTTTAATTTATTCCTAAAGCTCTTTAAAAGTTACAACTTTAAAAAAAAACTATTATTTTATTTCTTACCTTATTTCTTTTGTTTTATCCCTTTTACAGTCACAAGCTTAGCAGTCTTAAGTTTTTGCCTTATGGATTTTATTGTTATAATTTTGGCCTTGCTGTAACTACACATTTTTATACTTCTGTTTTAATATTCTTCTACTCTTCTGATTTTTAAGTTTTTACATCTAATTTTAACCTTTCTTCTAACTTGAATCTTGAGTTTTGCTCTATAATTTTAACACTGTTTACTTATTCTCATTCTTTTAAAGTCAGTGTAAAATTTAACAATTTCATAGTTTCTGTGATAGATGTGGAAACTCCAAATGATGGCCAAGACACTTTTTTGGATATAGCACAATACCACAACGGGGATATATCGAACAGGAAGCCCTTAATTCCGGCTGATGGAACATAGAAAGACAGCAGAGGAAATGGCATTTCAAGTACAAAAGAGAGCTGACTTCACTGAGGTCTTTCTAGGTGTCCAGCGTGATGAGAGTGCTTAACTCTAATAAATCCCTTTATCTTCCCAACAATCAAGCAATAGCTGGTATTACTATATCCACTTTACAAAGGACTCAACTGAAGTTTCATGAAGACTAATTTTTCCTGGATTGTCTGGCTAGTAAAAGATAGAAACCATGTCCATCTGACTAATTCTTCAGTCCTTTGCATCGCATATGCTTATTGACATGGTGTGCCAGGCAATGACAGGGAGACACTTTGGACATAATTACTACGGACTGAGCAGAACCAGAACCATCTAATGTACCAACTGTGAAGAGATCGACATTCTTCATAAAAACGTCATGAAATAACACGAATGAAGTCTGCTTACTCTTTCAAGGTGGTGATGAAAGGTAGATAAGGGGCTTTACATTTTATAATTTACTACAGACAATGTATTTTTATGCTGAAAAGGAAAAATGCAGAGAGGCTGTCTTCTAGTGACTCCCTTTTTACTCTCTTCAGAATTTAAATGTTTAAATTTCATCCACTAACATGAATAGAAAATTTATTTCTACTTAGTAAAGTAATTGTTAATTGACATCTAAATACCTTGAAAATATATTCATGGGAAACATATGGCCATTTCATGAAATCACTGGATTTGTTATAAATTTTTGTTTAGAATTAAACCAGTACTACTCTGTTCTTTAAGCTTTCCACTACTTTATAAACACTCTTGTTGGCCACAGAGTATTTATAGAGTATATGCCAAACTTAATTCAACTAAGAGCCTGGATTTGTTTTTCACTGTTTGGAAAACTGCATAAATTTTGATGATTGACACTCAGGGTGTGATTCTTTTTCCTGGACTGAAAAATAAATGAAATCTTTCTACTTTTGAATAATAAACACCCACAATTTAAACGGAATAAGAGGGCTTTGGTTATTTGTTTTTCAAAGTGCATTCGCTATTAGAAAGTAGACCTAGAAGAAGCAACCTTTTATATTCATTTAATTTTAAAATTTCTCTGGAAAGATACTAGTGACTTGTATTAATACTCTTATAGTTTCTCTAAAATCATCAATGAATTCCTTCTTGACCAAATCAGTTAAACTCAGCATCCTTACTAGTGTGGGTTCAAAGTTTTTCTGATATTACCATGTGGGTTAACTCGTCAAGTAGACAGCATATGTGACTTTGGCTATTAAGTTATTAAGTCGGTACGACTATGTAATCTTATCTATGTCCTATGGATTGATAATTGAATTTTTGAACATTTTGGTTATTACTGACAGCCTTCATCTTCAGAATGTTGAGATCATAAAACATTTTAGATAATTAATAGCTTTCTTAATTTTTCATTGGCAAGCAGATGCCAAAATTTTTAATAATGCTTTAAAAAAATCCATACATGGCAGGTAGTAAAAGCCATATGCAGTTTAAGTAAAGCAATAAGGACTGTCAAAAATAATGAAAAATCACAAATATTATGATAGTAAGTCCTGAAAAGAAATACCTGTCTATAATAGTATAAACCACATGTTGAAAACAAATCATATTTCATTAGATAAAAAGGCTACCCGATTTTTGTTTCAGCCAGGAAGTTAACTTTCTGTTCAATCACAGTTTGTCTTAGTTTAGGGTTCAGGTAACTGCCCCAGATATCCTTTCATTACTTCACTTTTTTCTCTTTATTTTTGCTTTTTTTGTAATATTTTTGCCCATCTATTCTCTGAGTTGGCTCTCAGAGAATCAGAGGGGAAATTGCTTGTGAAAAAATCATCACTCCTTTCAGTACAAATTAGGATTAGCCAAATGAGCAGTATTACGCTACTCATTAAAAACAAAAAAGTCCTGAATAGGCTACTACACAAAAAGGAAGGTAGAGAAATAATGAGTCATCTGCCATCCACCACCTATCCAATTTCTCACTCCTGGTCCCTAATTAGAATAATCCCAGAAGACAGATAGCTGGCAAATGGATACATCATTAGTTATTTTTTCCAGATAGTGATTTGACTTCACCAGGTATCTTCTTCAATCTCTTGTTTTGAGGTTCATGTGGAGTGTGGTGTGGACAGTGAATATTGGTGATAATGTGGGTGTCAGGCATCATCTCAATAAGTAAAGTGTAAATGGAGCAATCTGAGCCCCTTTCTGGATTTCAGCTCTGCCATTGTGCTCGCCCAATGCCTTCTGCTCTCCATCAGGCCTTCGCTGTAAGGTCATTGGATGAGAACTGGGGAGAGAAGACCTGTGAGGTGGATTCATCAGGATTGGCCCTTTGTTATGATGTTGGTCCATTGTGGTTTGATTTTTCATTTGTAAATGATAGAAAACCAAACTAGCTTCCACCTTCCCCCTCAATTGTTACTCACAGATCAGGGTGACTCATTTCAGCGTGGCAGCATCCAGGGATTCAAATAACAGGACTCTTTCTCCAGCTCTAGGCTCTGCGTTCCTTTGTGTTGGCTTCATTTTTAAGTAAAAATGATCACCCACAGTTTGAGACTTACGTCACCTTTACAGTAATGGTCCCAAATCAAATGGAATGCCATTTCTCAATTATTCCAAAGAATCTGTGAGGATGACTGATAGTTCTAATTTGAATCATATGCCCATCCATGTCCTAATGTCTATGTTCATGTAAATGGAGTACTCTGATTGGTCAGTTCATGGTATATACCCAAACTTGCATAGATCAGGGGAGCCCTCCACAATTAAAATAAACACCACAAAAAAGAGAGATACTCTTTTACAAAAACGGGTGACTACACATGCTGTGCAGACACAAATAACTAGTGTCCTATAAAAATATTGAAAAATTTGTAAAAGTTTTCAAAATAGAGATTTTTGTAGAAAATTTGAGATAGATTAGAATATAACTAAGGGAATCTTCTGAGAGAGAAACACTGGGAATAATTTTTATGAGTCTGTTTTGTGTGTGTGTGTGTGTATTTTAACAGTTGAGCTCAAGTTGGATGAGTGAGTTCATAGCTATTTTTCCATTTACTATTATGACAACTAGTTGTCTGTGTTACTAAAAACACTTTTATAAAAATTCAATGGCTCTATAATATATTTTTAAAGGGATATAACATTATTTACAGCCATTTCCTTATTTTTGTTTAAGTTGATTTTTTTCATTGTTTTTAATGATACACATTTTCAAGCATTGGGTTATTTCTGAATTAAGGATTAGTCTTGTAGATAAATTCCTAAAGTCATACTTTTGCATTAAAGTGTCTGAATGTTTGTGTATCTCTTAATTTATATTGACAAATTTATTTCCTGAATTGCCCTGTTTTTAAATATTCTCTTAGGTTCTCTTTTTGTCTCACTATACACATTCTCCCATGGCAAACTAATATACTCCCATGATTTAATTACCATCTTTAGTCGAATGGTTGGTGAATCTGCATATCTAAATTGAGGATCACCTCCTGAGTTCCTGACCTGGAAATCCAACAGCAAATTGACATTTCCACTGGGATGTCTCACTCGGCCTCAAATGCAACATGTATAGAAACCACCCACTGCCGTATCTCCATCCTAAAGTGTGGGTTATGTTGGATTTGATTTTCCTTCTCCTTTTTTTTCTCGGGAGTCCTCTCTTTAATGCCTCTAATAAATGAAATCACAAGATTTCCACAGAAGTCATCAGGCAGCCTAGCCCAGCTTTCCCCCTAACAGTTCTTTACCTCTTTCTGAAGTAGAATTTACATTTAAGAGTATAATAAAAATGCATGCTGTGCATCTGCCTTTTTGACAATTCCGGTCATCAAAATAATGAAACAGTATATGAAGTCTTTCATTTTGACTTAAAAGAATCATTTATAAGTAACATCTTAATACTGAAGAGATTAATAAGTGAAATTATAAAAATCAAAATATAAAATAAAGAAGTACTGTTTTGTAAATTCAGATAACTTGTCTTAGTGTACAAAGACATCTCCGGCTCCCCCAAATAAAAATTAAATTAAATCAGAATGCCAAAGGAAAAGAAAGCAAAGACGGTAAACAAAAGAATTGAATTTCCTATATAGGCACATCTTGGGATACTCATAAATGTAAAATGTTTCCTGCTAAATACTGTGGTC